AACCGAGAAGCTCGAGTACGAACTCCCCAACGATGAGGACGACGAAGCGAACGACGAGGACGACGTCTTGCCCAAGATCATCTACTCGTCGCGGACGCATACGCAGCTCAAGCAGGTCGTGAAGGAGCTCAAGCAGACCGCGTACAAGCCCAAGGTCGCGATCCTTGGCTCGCGCGAGCACCTCTGCGTCCACCCCGAGATCTCCAAGATGCGAGGAACGCAGCAGAACCACTCGTGTCGCCAAGCCGCCAAGCAGATGCGGTATCCCATGCTTCCTCTTCATCCCAAATGTGACGATGCCATGGCGCTATTAGCTGCATCTTCAAGTCGGGCTACGACCAGTCCAAGAAGGGCGGCAATTCTCGCATCATGGACATTGAAGAGCTCGTGACCGTCAACCGCGAGCGACAGGTTGCCTTGTCGTCGCTCTGCAAGTATCGACGTATGGCGTAGATCTGCCCGTTTTACGCGAGCCGCGACATGCTCTCCAAGGCCAACGTCATCTTCATGCCGTACAACTACCTCGTGGACCCGCCCCTTCGCGCCTCCCTCGGCGTTTCCCTCGAGAACGCCATCTTGATCTTTGACGAAGCCCACAACGTCGTACGTGGTCTTCTCTGATCCCTAATTCAGGGCATGCATGCACCCATGCAGGAGTCAATTGCGAGCGAGGCGGCGTCGTACAGCCTCTCGACCGAAGACATTCAAGGCTGCATCAAGGAGGCACAGGAGTGCCATCGCATGATTGCGACCTCGCGTTATGTGCCGGAAGAAAGCTCGTTCCTAAGCACGCAGGTAGCGACCATTGGCTCGTCTCGATCCAAGCCAAGATCATGGGATTAGTCGGTGACCACCCTCATGGAGCTGCTCATGGAGATTGAGCGAGGGCTTCTCTCGTTTCCCGTCTCCAAAGATGGCGGCTGCACCAAGGTACTTAAGACGTCTCGGTTTTGACGAGACGACAGGATGCTTGCGTAGCCGGGCGAGTACATTTTCGACTTTTTCAAGGGGTTCAACATCTCGTTCGACACGGCGCCGATGGTTCTTGGCATCTCGGAGCAAGTGATCGAGGCTATCACGGACGGCGGCAATGCGAGTAACCCGCGCAACTCGAAGCTCGAGAGCCTTGTCTCGTTCCTCAAGACAATCTTCCGGGACAAGGACAACCACCACAAGGTTGCAATATATCTGAATCCGATTCTTATTGTAATCTGGCATGCATAGATGACCAAGCAATTCCGCGTGCACATCCAAGAAGAGTTCGTCGTCCTTGCAACTCGATTCCTATGTATTGAGAAGGAACGATTAGGACGCAAACATCCCGACGGTACCAGTCGGGGCCCCCTGTCATGAAGACGATGCGCTGGTTCCACTATTGGTGCTTCCATCCGGGCGTCGCCATGCAAGAAATTTACGATCAAAAGGTGCACAACATCATCCTCACGAGGTATTACACACCCAACTGCACACTGTCCTGGTCAACTATGATTGGAATTTGG